CCCAGAGACTGAAGTAGCAAGTCTTTCCCTCTCACTTTTCATAATTTGCTTCTGCGAACTGCGCACCTCTGTTCGAGTTCACGGGACAACCGACTGTTACATCTTCATCCCACAGCGCATTTGATTTTACGTACATAGCCGTTTTATTTACACAAAACGAAGAATCACCCTTGTCTGCTGTTTTCGACGATACTCTTAATATTCAATACTGACTATAGAGTGGCTTCTTTGCCTCTCATCTTCGTCACAAAACATGTTTAAGATCATATCGTGGACGCGTTAGTAATGTTAATGATTAAGATATCCGGCACCTTGATAATTAAGAGTTTACTGTATCCTATTTGTTAGGAGTTGCTTTTTTGTATCCATCAAGCTCTGATGAATTGGTGGGGGGAGGGGGGTTGGTTGTTGTTGTTGTTTTGATTTGTTTTTTTACGACTGCTTTTCTTCTTTTAGTTCTTTTTTAGTTTGTTGCAATGTGTGACACGGTTATTGATCAATAATTGAACGGTGTTGAAAATGAAACGTACCATCAGAGCCCACGGCCTGACGTTCGTTCCTCCAAGCCATTCGATTCACAGCTGACAGACAATTGTTTCTCCCCATTAATATCCACTGATACCAGCGGAAAGGAAAACGAGTGTTTTTTGTTTTGTTTTGGGTTATTGCTGTTTAAAAAAAAAAATTGAAGTTGAATAGAAGACTTAGCAAACCAAACCAAACCACCAGCAGTTGTCAAGGTGCATACAAAAGTTTTTATATCTTGCCAATAATTCGATTTAATTCTCTTGAGCCCAGAGACGTATTTTTTTTCTCTTTTCCGAGCGCTTTTCCCCCGGGCATTAATTCAATTGTCTGGGGCCGCGCCGTGCTAAACGCTACAGGGCTAAAGGAGTTAGATGTTGTAAATTGCGATTCAAATCCAGTTCCGTTCACCGACACGACTTCTGCTAGCCGGGTGTTTGCATGGCAGAGTTATTGATTTCACGGTTCAGGTCTAGTTGGGGGTGACCCTTCTTAGAAATAAGTAAAAATGGTTTGGATTTTTTTGTGTGTCTGCATGGCGTCATGGCTCCTCCCCTATTAGCCCCCTCAGAGAGTGGAGAATTGTGCTGTTGAGTAAGTCTGCTCCGAAAAAGGAGACCTCAACCGACTAGACTTTAACCTATTCGTCTTCAATTCTGGTTGACTTCTTTGAGAGGATTTTTTGGTTAACAACGAGCACAAAAAATAAGGCGGCTTAATTTTTTGCTTTTTTTTTACCAAGCGTATTCATGTTTCCTTTTTGGGGGGGATGGGTTGTGGTGGTAGTTGGGTGAATCGCTATTTTTGCATATACTATAATGTTTTACCTGTTTACTAGCTGCCAGAATTAGAATTATATATGACAGAGAGAGAGAGAGAGAGAGAGAGAGAGAGAGAGAGAGAGAGAGAGAGAGAGAGAGAGAGAGAGAGAGAGAGAGAGAAGGTAGGAAGGATTACGCATAGACTGTCGAGGCCGC